GAGTCGACTACTCCATTACAAAGAGGCCTCACACTCCAACCCCTGGGATCTACATGGGACGGCCAACCTAGTGAGTGATCCCGGACTCTAAAATAGTGCTTCTGCAGCGTACGGGATTCTTGGCACGCTGACCTCTTGTGTCACCCCCATCGCTTTGACGTGGTTGTGCTCTCTGTAGTGGTGGGGCTGGAGGCGGACCCAGCTTCCGTCGTTCTTCACGTGATTACTATGACAGAGGGTACGAACGGGGCTATGATCGCTACGAGGACCGGGACTACTACAGATCTTACAGGTGTGTGCCCATGACCTATCCTATCCAGTTGTGTTTCAAATCTGACTTGTCCTGTAGGCAGTGCGATGCTAATGACTTTTTACTTGGGACTGTACTGTTTACTTTTTGTAGTATTTTGTGTATTAGCATTGCCTTTTAATTTAAAGCGGCCTTTGCTGTTCAGCTGTTGTGGTACAGGGGCTAATCTGCTTAAACATGCCTGTTTATGCTATTTAGTAAGCCAAGACCTGAAGCTTAGTCTCTTTTCAGACGCAGGTCCCCGTCTCCATACTACAGTCGTGGGGCGTACAGGTCCCGGTCGAGGTCGCGCTCCTACTCGCCCCGTAAGTGCCTCCTAACACCCCAGATTGCCACCATATGCCAATACTGAATGCGAATAAGATGTTGAGGTTCTGCTCGTGAAATGTTGACTGTGTGGACGTCAGCCTGTGTCGCAGTCCTCATAGCTTTCTTTCTTTCCACAGGTCATTACTGAAAAGAGTTCACATCACAAGCAGCCCTTGTTTGTCCTGACAGCGGTCACAGACGTTTTGGTTTGGGAAGGGGAGGGGGGGCTATACGTTTTGTCATAGTCTGTTTGTCCCTATCAGAAGTTCTGGCTGCCACTGATGCCCCAAATTGTAGATGAGATTGTGTTGTGTGTGTGTGTGTGTGTGTGTGTGTGTGCTTTTTTTTTCCCCTTTGTGCATTTTGAACGCGTCGTGTTGACTGCTTCCATGTTGGTTTTTTTTTTTCTTTCTCATTTATTTGTAGATGTACACAAACCAGGTTTGTATATAGGAAGTGGTTCCTTTGGGCTGGGGTACATTTCCACAGCTCTGATTCTGTACTGTGTGTTCTGCTTTTAATTCGGCAGTATTCGAGCAATAAACTGCCTATTCACACAATGCCTTGTCCTTGATCGGTCTCTCCACCCCCCCTCACCCCCAGCTTTGCCTGTCATTCTGGTGAATGCTGTGTGGTGTACGTTTGTTATGGCTTACCTGCACAGCTCACAAGGCAGTTTTCTTTTGTGCACGCTGGGGATGAACTTGCTGGAAGATTCTAAATGCCCAATATTCTCTCCTCAATGTAAGTCTGATCATTTAACAGTTAAGGGTTTGTCGCAAGCAGCCATGTCAGATCACCGTTTTGTTGCCCTGGTTCAACTGGGACCTGAAGCTGGAAAGTAACATCACCTTGACTGAAGTATGATGTATGCAACCTATTGAGCAGAGGCAACTGTTACGGCCACCATTTTGAAATGTTGAGTCCCATCAAAGTCCTGCTTTGCTGTAAGCTCTGGGTGTAAGAATCAGCTAGGTGAGGAAGTCTTCCGACCATAAAAGGCAACACTGTTGTGTGGGAATACGCACACCCTGCTCTGCCATCTCTACGTCTTCATTGGTGGCGTGTGTCGAGGTTAGTTCGGTGGCCGAGTGGCGGTTGCAAAGCGAGCAAACCGTTTGCCTGACAACTGCTACATACTTCGCTGTACAAACCTGGCACAAACCATTGGTGCATTTTGTGTTCCGTTTTCTGAAAGGGAAAGAAGCGGAGAAAACCGTAATCTAGTTGAAGAGCGCTAAGGACGGTAGAATCAAATGTTATGAGCATAAAACGATAAATTAAACGTTTAAGTGTGTTAACTGTACTGAGGGGAGGGGTGTAACCTTCCCTCCCGAAGATGTTTACAGTTTAGTTGTTAAATCAAGTTTATTTTATTGTCGTAAGCTGTTTCACCTTTTTTTTTTTTCTTTTCCTCGCACTAATGCAACTGTAAAACCACATGCATCGGGACATGGCGCCACCAAATTACTAAATGACAACTCATTGGTATTTTTATTTTTAGATTTTGTGTTTTATTCTTCCGGGCTAAAATGCTTTAGTTTTACAAGGTAGTGAAGTTTAGCTATCACCAAAAATGGTCCGCAGTTCATGGATTCGGCAGCGCGCAACAATTTCAATTGTTAGGCGCGTGGAAGCCTGTTGGGTGGGGCCGTTTTTATGTCTCCTAATCTGCGCCACCGCACTAAAACATGAGATGGTTTATGAAAACAGCCAAGGACAAATAACACTATGGGAGTTTTTGTCCCCTTCTTACTCGTTGCATTTCGTAAGATCGTTTGTGAAACATTACCAAGGCATTATCACATACAAGTCAAAAGATTATCACTCGGCTTTGATTTAAAACGGTGTTGTAGCTCCTGATCAACAGCAGGTGTCGCACTTTTTAAGTTTTCACTCCAGCACAGTTCGTTCCTTTATACTGCAATCTATTTTCAAATATGCTCGGGAGATACTCGAGGTTCCGAGAGTTCATTGTGGATATCAGGATATTCCCCATCTTATATTCCACCCTGCTAAAATATAATTACTATAGATTGGTAATGTGCATGACAATATAGTTAGATATTTCATTTTTATAAGGTCTGTATATCAACCCTTTTGTGAGATGGTGTTTACAATTCAAAACTCGCAGAAACAGAACTTAATTGACAAAATTAAACTTTTAATTAAAAAGTGATACTTTTTGTTAATATTCTTTCTCTTCTGTGCGGCACATCACAATGGGAAGATGTCCATAACACAAATGAAAAATTAAGTTTACAAGCGACGAAACAAAGAATATAGAGGTTTTACGATTTCGCTCTATTTAGACGGCAAATATCCCTCGGCACCAGAACGTTATTATTGAAAACATACAGGTAATGTCTACCGCGTTCTGATGCTAAGCAGATCGTGGCGAAACAAGACCACATATACTTGACAATATTTGATTTTTAAATTTTCAATCATTTTTTCTCATCTATTTAATTTTCCACTTTTACATTTAACGTAATGCTGACTTGATAAATTATGTGGCATTATTTTAGGTTCATTTTTTAATTAAAAAATATTATGTACAAATTACATTGTATCTTACTTATATAATGTCCCGTGACCATATGACCAGCTCTTCATGTCTTAATGCAAATTAATTGTGGTTCAATATTTGAAAATTGTTACTTGAATACAAGGTTCTCCTTGAACAAGCACGTTTTGTTCAAAATGTGAGCGAGCCGTGAGATTTTAAAAGTGGAAACTGATATGCAGTGTGACGACTGTATTCTGAACATGGCGTTGTTGCAACTGTGCGTTTGTTGTTGATTTGTGTAAGGAGCAAGGGCAGGTCTAAGTAAGGGTCCATGAAGCAGTGTTTCATACCTATTTTAGATTTCATATGGTATTGTGTTTTATGTTTTTATGTCCGCTGAAAACGTAGACAATAACACGTTTGTCAGCGGTGCAGGGTTTTCAAAACATGTATTAACCTATCTACGTACGCAATAGTAAATTTGGGCTCTCGACGAGAAATTGTTTAGCTTTTCTACGTACAAGGTCGCAGCTACACTTTAACAATTTACATAATTCAATTAATTCAGTTTATCCCGAAATCTCCCCGAGAAATTAAATGCCTTCAGTCTGTAAAGTTTTAGACATTCCATCGGTAAGTGTAGATCGGACTAGAATAACAAGGTCTGTCATATGAACTGTAATGTGGCGGCAAATTAAACCTGGTTTCACTACCATGTTTAAAACAGGGCTTCGTAAAACCCCGTCACGCCGACGATCGCTTCCTGTAATGGTTGCGTCGAGGGCAACGCTGTTAAGTTGATACCATGTCCGACGGCTGCTTAGTGCCTAACAAAGGAATTCGCAGTGTAGGCCCACGACGCGTGTTTTTGTATTACGCTGGTGGTTTTGCGGAACATGATATTCAGCTGCATCATACTTCTTCCTTGAGAAATAAACGTGAGCGCGAACTGTTTACTTTAAGCGCTGCTTGAAATTAAATCTTTATATTTATCGTGCAGGTAGACGAACAACTGCTGGCAAATCGCTTACGCAATAACTTCGATTAAGGGCAGTATTGTGTGCCTGGGTGTAACCCCTCTATAATATTTATATGTAGGATTTTCTTAGAATAATGCAACGTTTATAACCTAAACAATTGATGTTACGTGCCATTTGCTGCGCCGTCGACGTTAAAAGCTTACTTTTTTGTTTTATAAGAAAATAAATCCCATATATACCTAAATGCGGTCTGTAATTTCGAAAATTTAATTTAGAGCAAATAAATGAAGGACAAATGTTGGGGTTAGGCAGTTCCCATGTTTAACATGATCAGATCCTTGTCCATTTTGTTACACACTCTAAATGGACTCTTCGCAAGCGTTGAAGTTCCTCCTGCCGCTTGCCAGGTCTACTGCCATGTGTGGGGGCGTGTTCCCGCCCCCCTTTCGGGTAAATTCGGCCGTATTCGGCTTCTGGGAGTGGATGTCCGAAGACTCAGTCATACGGGAAATCCAACCTCTTTACCCTTCAATCAATCCAGCCTTCCAAACTACTGAGAAAGCGAGATAGACGCAGCGATAACAAACGAGAGGCCATCGCCGGTGTAGCGCGACCCCGGTGCGCGTTTGTCGTTTTTGGGTCCCGCTGTATCAATTACTGAAATGAAACGCCTGCGCTTTCTTAGACGAGTACGAGATTCAGGTTGTCATTCACGAGTACCTGCAATCGTTGAGTAAAATAAATTTTGGATTAAAGGCTATAATTCCACGCCCCCCACCCAACCCCCCTCCCTCAACAAATGACCTGCTTCTATGTAGGCAATATTGAAAGCACGTCTTTCGTGGGAGGGGAGAGAGGTGTCATTATGGTTTGTTTTCATTTACTAAATATTATGACCACCGTGCGCTTTAACGCAGCTTACCAATAACACAACACTACTGGTACTATTTAAGGGGGCTGAATGAACGACCTCGCTGACTCCGACAACCCCCCCTCTCTTTGATTAATTTACCCGGAGGGTGATCTTGGTGCCACTTGGCACCTACACGCCAGTTCGTTCGGAGCACAGATGCTGTCGTGCACAGCACATCCAGGCTACAAACAAAATTTCTGATATTTTAAAGGCAGATTTTATTTAGAGGCGGTGCTTACTGGCTTCAGGGTAGCGTCGTAACGACACTTTTTTTCTACCCCAGTCAAAAGTGTTTGACCAGGAGCAGAGTTGGAACCGGGGGTGGACTGGACTTGGGGGGTGATAACTGCTTTTTGCAGGGTTTTTCCTCTTTTATTTTTTTCTTTTATTTTGTATTTTTTTTTCTATTTCGTCCTCTAGATTTTTCTTCCCGTCTTATTTCATATCGGGATTCCCTTTTGGATCATGAACAAACTATACATCGGGAATCTGAGCCCTTCGGTCACCGTTGAGGACTTGAAGCAGCTCTTTGGTGAAAGAAAGCTTCCCTTAGCCGACCAGGTTCTGCTAAAATCCGGCTATGCCTTCGTTGATTTCCCCGACCAAAACTGGGCCATTAAAGCCATCGAGACTTTGTCAGGTAAGTGTACTGTACACTTCAGAGATCACTCAGTCTTGGTACGTAGCACATGGTATCAAAAGATGAAATCATCAAAACATTTCTTTGAAAAGGAAATTCAAGTAACAGTGTGGAGATCTTCGCAGGATTTCGCTTGGGACGCCGAGCGCGCAGTGTTACATCAGTGCCCGAGTTGAGATAGTAACTCCCATACGGTCATCTAAAATGGAGCAAATTAAAGATCACATCCACTCACCAGAATACTCTTCGGTAATACAACGGACAAGAAGAGCGCATGCAATGCATTTAACGGTCAAAACCCGGAGGTATAATGCTATTTGTATCTGCTGAAAGGTCTACTTCGCAATCACCCGTAGACATTTATGGGATGGTCTGATGCCCGGGTAGACATAATTATTTTTCAGTTATTTTTTGTTTTGATTTTATTGAAAAGAGCCGACGAAAGTAACCGTAAAGAATGTGTCAAATCCATGTTCCTAAGATGCCCGGGTAGGTTTTTACGAGGTGTCCTGAGGGTAGGTGATGGGGGTCCGGAGGAAAGTGCTGATAAACAGGTAGCAGGGGGAACGAGGTGATACTCCAGTTCCGAGCTGCACCAGGCCACTTCAACTCAATCGCAGCGTAAAGGCAAAATGCAGTGTAGCCTCTCGCACGCTGTTCAATTAAAGCTCAGCCTTATCAACAGGCGGGGAAGCCGTACCTCCGAGATAAATAAAAGCATATCCTTTTTAGGAAGTCTTACCTTAGGTCTTCCTCACAATATTTAGTGTTAAAATAATACTGTCCCCTCAGCTCGCTAAGTGGTTTGTGGGAGTGGAGAGCATGGCTGCCTCTTCATCATTGTGAGTTTTTAAATATGAGCTCATCAAGCTCTTTTGGCGCCGATTTTCTAAAGTGTAATTAATAAAAGAAATAACATAAACGTGTCCATTAATTGAGGGCAATCCATTGTTCTTCCATGGCCATTAAAAACCCGGAAACTCGTTTATGGTTATTTTTAAATTTTAAAATGTTCCAGAAAATCTCTTTAAATTGTCCAGTGTTCTTAAACAGATTGATTAAAACGTGTCAATAGAAATGTAAATAATAATATTAAAATATCTTACGGGCACATCGTTTTATAGCGTTCCCACGCTGAGTTGTAATATTGATATTCTTGGCTAGGTAATCACATATTTATTTTTCCTCTTCACAGGAAAAGTTGAATTACACGGCAAGGTGATTGAGGTAGACTACTCTGTTCCGAAAAAACAAAGGTAATTCTGTATTTCGTTTTAAAATATCTATATCATGTCACTCTACGTATGCCCCAAAACTCAATGGCGATGGAAGACGGGGGGCACGCTGTTGTGATGGGCACGTTTTTGTGGTTTTGTGAATAATGCTATCATTTTAAAACAGCAACGTGTGGTGTACAAAGCCCACGGTTTTCTCACCTTTATTTATCTACAATGTCGAAAATTGTCGCTATTAAAACAGACTTGACTGTGTTTAACGTTCTACATGTTTATGTACATTTATGCTATGGTAAACAATTACATTTTAGAATGAGTCCAAACTAAAACAAATACTTCCTGCTTTAACGTCTCGTGCATATTTACATAATTGTTACTGTTATTTTACTAATAGAGAATATGTTTTGGAATACAAAGGGAGTGTGACTCGTTTGTTCTAAGTTACTTCCTTATTTTTTTGTCCGTTTGTGGTGTAAGAAACTCATTAATATGTCTCTTTAATTTGGGAGATCTAAAGATTACTCATGACGAATGCATCTACAATAATAAAGCACACTGTAAAGTGCTTGACTTAGTTTAACGTGCAGGCTATATTGGTATACGTATAGAAATTTGATTCCGCTACAATCACCATGACCTTCCTTTATAAACTGTTTGTACCCTCTATTTCCCATATTATTATTTTTAGATAGCTTTTCCAACGATTGTAGGCCCTTTGCGTGAGAAGGCCTAATTTATAGTTCTGCATTAACTAGGTTAACAGACAAGAAAATGCATTAACCGTTAGAATGGCTCGCGGAACGCAAATACGTGTGTGCCTGAATGATTAGGAGTTACAATGTAAGAAATGTAAAGGATTGAAATACGAGATGTTTACCATATTAGTAGCTTTGCTGATAAAGGATTATGGGATTGCACTGCAGAATAGGCGTTGTTCGAGCTGTCTGTTGACGGTAAAATAGTAGATGGTTGAAAATATGTAAGTGTTTAAATACGATTTTAATTCCCACCGTGAACATCCACATTGTTTCCAAGTATAAGCATTGCAGTTGTTTTGTCCATTACAAAAAGGCGGGCACGCGGGGAAGAAGGATATCCGCTTTAAGCTTAAGGCTGCGTGACCCCGCAGTGAAAATGCGGGGCCTGCGAGCACGTGACCGCCGCTATATAGTCTACATGTGTTTCAGCCACGTTCGAGTAGTACGAGGGGAGGGTCGGCGGTGCGGGGGCTCCACGTCGCCCAATTCCGTCAACTAGCCACGCTTCCGCAATCTATAATGTCACATAAAGAAATACCGAGCGTTTAATGGGAACGCTGAGAGAGCGCTGCAAAACTAGGCCTCATCCACACGACCCTTTAAAATGAAACCGAATGGCGGAATACTTCACAGGAAAGCATTCTGCATTAATGCGAAACGAGCAGCCAACAAAGATATTCGGGATATTGCTATTATAAAAGATTCGATTCCCGATTAACAGTGATTGTCTGATTGTATATATTCGGTGTGTGTATCGTAATGCTTTTTGAAATGGGCAGAGCCCAGATTTCAAATAAAGCATGGCAGCCGTAGTAGTACAGTCGCCCCCTGACATGGAGACGGACCTCCGCAGTAAGCATGCAGAACGTGTGCGTGGGGCTCTCTCATTGGTGATGCGTGGTCCATACAGCTTAAGGAGGTGGTCTACATTACGTTTGGAACAAGGAAGCTGTCGTATGTACATTCACTGGCGTGCATGGAATTCCGTTTCATACACCTCCCAAAAAAATTCAAGTTACAATGGCAACGGGCGCGAAAGAGCAAACGAGTCTTCTGGCAATTGGCAATTTTGATGATTGACAAAAAAAGAATTCCGTAAAGTTAACTAACTGAATAAAATTGCTCCCCTTGATTACACATTTTTTTTGTCGAGCAAAAGCAGCATATAACGAATTCCTTTAGAAATATTTTAAATTCAGCGTCACGACGTTTAAAGAGTGGACGCGTGTTAAATTTCCAAATTTACTGTTAGGTTAAAAAAAAACATGGGCAATTATTAATTAGCAGGACACTGCGTCATGATCGTGGCAGTAATGATCAGTGAACGTTTTTGTGATGGCAGTTAGGTAGTAATTTAGATATTTTAAGGTATACTTAAACATTTATCTATGTTTTATAAAATACCGTGTAATATAAAATATTTAATATAATTATATGAAATTAATTTCTGTATTTCTATATAGAGGTATGCAGGTGTCAGTTGTGTGCAGTTCATTGACATTTATTTGTGTACCTTGATTAGGTAAAACTGCTTGTGTAATTTGTGCTGTTTATTACAAAATGTGGTTCTTTTTCCATTCTTCTCTCGCAGTAACTTTCCTGAAAAGACGTTTGCATTGTCCTGAACTGTTTGCAGTAAATTTACATATAGTTAAACATGTTTTAAACCAGTCATCTGTAATCCATTTAAGTTCAGGGTATGAAGCTTTTAAAGGACAGTTATAAAGTGTCTGCAAATTCACAGGTATTCAGTTAAATTGTGCAGATGTGGTCCCCTGGTTATAGAATTGGTTATTTACTTTTCATAATGAAATTGGGAGTGTTTCTTTTGAATGCTGAGGTGTTTTACACAAATTATATTGTTTGATTAAACATAATTTATACATTTAATCCAGGTATTCTGAAATGTTTGGGTGTCCACATTTATTAATGTGCCTTTTAATGCACTTGCATCTTAAGACACTTCAGTGGAAGATGTAGAAAATAATTCACTTTTTGTTTATATATATATTTGATTTTATGGATTCTTAGTATATTTTTTGAGTTGGAGGAATTATTGAAGTGTTTGTTTGCTACCTTTTAGGAAGATTCCATAATGTTCCACCCTGAAAGTAAAATATTTTCCCCTATTTAGAAACATATTAGAGTTTTAGCTTCTTGTGAACAAAATGTTCTTAGAATCAGCCGAGAAACACCACTAATTCAGCAATCCAGGTTATTTCTGTTATGTGTTCCTCTAGTGAAGATATTTCAGATTTGAGTATGGCAGTGGCCAGGTTGCACATATGGAACAATATGAAATTTTAAATAAATTGCATAATGTTAGCTGCATTGTTGTAAATGAGTTTTAAAATATTGTATAAAAATATTACTACTAAAAATAAGGTAAATTGTTTGAAGAAGGAAGATACGATGGAATACTGTAATGTTGCCATAATTTTTTAGTAATTATTGCTCTTCTTGAAGTGACTGTGTGTGACACTGTAATCATGACAGTTGTGTTTGCTTTGCATGATTTAAGAAGGCAAAATAACATGTATGTTGTCTTGTGGTAATTAGGTAGATTTTAATAACACACCTTTCATATAAATTAGCAAGGTGACCTACCCAATATACCTTGTGTGCCTTGAGGTGCTATTTGCACACACATGAAGGATTAAGTTTAATAAAAGTTTGGAAACATGACGCAGAACGTAGACATAGGTGCAGTTTATAGCTTTGAAAAAGTTGTACTGCATATGTACTTAATGTGTGATGTCCCTTTAAAGTACTTAAAAAATGTTTTATAAAGTGTTTAGTCTTATTCTGACCAAAAGATGTTTTGTTATTAAAACTGCAGCCATGATGCACTTTGGTTTTAATGTTTTGCTGCTCTAGTTAGGAAAACAACCTCCTCTGATTTATTTGGATGTGTAGCCTACTGCTCAACTTGGATTGTTTGAGGAGATGGTTGGGGCGGGGGGGGGGGGGTTGCAGATAAGCAGAACTGTGTTGTGGTCCCGTGTCTTTGTGATGCTCTCCTGAGTGTTTACAACAGGGGGGTCTGAGTCAAAAAATAATGACTAGCTAGATTTAGCGCTGAATGAAGTACTTTCAAGACCGGAGTAAAGACTAGAATAGAAAAGGCTAATGGAGTGAAGTATCTCGAGGGTGGTGGTTGGTTTGGTGGAGGTACAAGATTCATCCAGGATTAAGCATCATGAAAATGTCAGAAATGCTCGGCTTTCCCCTGCTTTTACATCTCTGTGTGTTTAATTGTAGTTTTCATTGTTACTTTTTCACCATGTTTTGTGTATGACTGTGACAGGAGTCTAACAGGAGTGAAATCATGTAAAATTGCCCATTAGGGTTTTTGGAAAAGGAGATGTTTTCTGTTGCATAGTGCTTTGCATGTCAGAAAAGTATCTGGAAATGCAAAATTAATTTGTTAAACAAGAGAGATTTCTGTAAAAGCTGGTGAATTAGCCTTAAAAGGTCCTAAGGAAGGTTCTTTAGTTTATTTTTAACTCCTGTGATAGTTTCGTCATGACATGCCTGTTAATTGTGAGCTTATTACTGGGTCTGATGTGGTTTATTTTTACAATTTTCTCAGATAAAAATTGTTGCATATTATCATTTTGTGGTTGTTTTTATATTCTGAGACTGTTAATAGTGACATTTGGTGAAAGAGCTGACACTGGATTAGTGGGGGGGGAAAAACACTAAAGCTGCCAGCAGTGGTGGGGCACACCATTTCAGCCCCCCCCCCCCCATTTTCATTGTCTGAGATTTTTATTTATTTTCACATTTTTTTTTAGTAGCACAATTTTTAATTTTATAAAGCAGTGTCATTTTCGATTTCTTTGACCATAAAAAAATTAAAAAAACTGTGTACAAACAAATTTATTTACTTTTCCAGAATGTTGGAGTATTAAAATATGAATAGATGTGTGTAGTAAAATTGTAGTGGACTGGTTCATACAGTGTCGCTTTTTTGTTTATTAGTACATTAGTTTATTATTTTGTTTAATAGCATGCTTGAATAATTACTATTAAAAGTTTACAAAATAAACCTACAAGATCGTATGTATGGAAAGTTCGTGTTTAAATATGACTTGTGACATTTTAAATATTTATAATTACTTTTTACCTTTAATCATTTACTTGAAACAAGTGATCATTTACAAACATCTGCTATTACAAAAAATAAATGCTTTGTGAAACTTTAGATCATTAGTATGCTGCAAATAATGTTCTGAACAATGAATGTATGTGAATATTTAG